GCCGCCCCGCCGCCCCTGGGGAAGGTTGCCTTGAACTCGGCTGTCAGTTCCGGGGATGGCAAACTGCGACCAGACATAGTCATCACCAACGAGGACCGGAAGAAGATCAGCATGGTGGACATCACAGTGCCCTTCAAGAACAGGACCCCGGCCTTCCACAATGCTCGAGTCCGAAAGGTAGAGAAATACGGCCCTCTGGCTGAAACCTTGAGCGCTAAGGGTTACCAGGTCCTGACACATGCACTGATAGTCGGAGTCACGGGCACATGGGACCCCAGTAATGAGCGAGTGCTAAGAAAATGCAGAATCGGTCAATGCACTTGGCTGATGTGGCAACTCATGGTGTTGGATGCTATCAGGTGGTCGAGGGACATCTACACAGAACACATCACCGGACATCGGCAATACCAGGAGAGATGAGCTGAAGTGCTCATGAGAAGCGCAGTCAGGAAAGTAACAAATCCTTTCCTCATGGATTGTATTTTCTAAATGGACAACCAACTTAATTCTCAATTACTGAGGGACAGTCGCCACTCATTGATATATTTCACTTTTCACAATCAAATCTCTGTACAACTTTTCATGAGTGATGTACCTGAGTATAAGGATTCTAATATCTAAACTGTATTGTTAAATCTACTCACCTAAATTTGGGTTATTGCTGCTTATGTGCTCGATGTATCATATGACTTTTAAAAACTAACTTTATATTTGTGGATAATCTAAGCACTATACCCAGACGTATTAGCAGGAGTATTGTAAGCAAGACACGAGAAGTAATTCTTCTGCTCTACTCTGTGCTGATTAGGCCGCAACTGGAGTATTGTGTCCAGTACTGGACACCACATTGCAGGAAATATGTGGACAAACTGGAGAAAGTCCGGAGAAGAGTGACAAAAATGATTAAAGGTCTAGAAAACATGACCTATGAGGGAAGATTGATAAAATGGGGTGTGTTTAGTCTGGAGAGGAGAAGACAGAGGGGACATAACAGTTTTCAAGTACATAAAAGATTGTTACAAGGTAGAGGGAGAAAAATTGTTATTCTTAACCTCCGAGGATAGAACAAGAAGCAATGGGCTTAAATTGCAGCAAGTGCGGTTTAGGTTGGACATTAGGAAAAACTTCCTATCAGAGTGGTTAAGCACTGGAATAAATTGCCTTGGGAGGTTGTGAAATCTCCATCATGGGGGATTTTTAAGAGCAGGTTGGACAAACACCTGTCAGGGATGGTCAAGATAATACTTAATCCTGCCGTGAGTGCAGGGGACTAGACTAGATGACCTCTTGAGGTCCCTTCCAGTTCTGTGATTCTATATACAGACACTTTCCCAAATTATGCATTATATAATTTTTTTTTAACATTAGTGTTAATAAAATTTGTGTGTTATGCCTATGACAAAAAGGGGACACAGACACTCAAACTTTACTTTTGAGTAGCC